GACTTTTTGATGAACGATCGCTCTAGCAACATTTCCACTTTTTATTGAACTGAAAATTTGCATTTTTTCAAAAACTGAGCATCTGGCGAAACCTAGGGTGCAGCGCACCGGCGGGCACGTGCGATCATATGTTTTTGCACCAGAGTACTCAGGTCATTGACTGCATGAATGGCTTTGCTTTATACCTGCCTTTTCCGGTCACTAACATAATCACCATAAATTTTGCAAAGCAAATGTACAATTTCCATTTAACAGTCGTTCTTTAAAAGTAACCTAGTTGTTCAGTGAGAAATTTCTCCGCCAAAACTTTTAAGTGCCCGCACTTGAGAGCCACGCATACCTCAGGCTGAATCTGAACACTTAAGTTTTACTTGGATAGAGAACATTATCCCAAAATTTCAGTTTTCCAGCTTTTCTGGTTAACGAGTTAGCAATGTTCCCATCAAAACCTTCACATACCAGTACGTGAGTACTCCACGTGCCTGGAAAGCTGAATTTGAAGTTTTTAAATTGCACATGGATAGGGAACATCCCCTTAAAATTTCAGCCTTTCAGCTCTTCTGGTTGCCGAGTTAGTAATTTTCCTACAGAAAAAAACTTTCGTACGTCCTTACGTGAGTACCATGCGTACCTGGGGGCTGAATTTGAAATATTTGAGTTACACTTGGATAGGGAACATTCCCCCAAAATGTCAGCTTTATAGCTTTTCCGGTACCCGAGTTAACAATTTTCCCCCTAAAACTTTCATACGTTCTTACGTGAGTACCACGCATACCTGGGGACTGAGTTTAAAATCTTTAGCTAGTACAGGAACAGGGAATATCCCTAAAAAGTTTTAGCCCCCTAGCTCGTTCCATTTTTGTCTGTTTCATCACTTTCATTTGGCTTGCATCACTTTAGAGGTTGTTACTTTTGTCTGTTTCTTCTCCCCCTCCTCCTCTCCTCGCCCTCCCCTCCCTCCCCTCCCCCCGCACACCCGGTGCGTACGACTGGGAGCTAAATTTGATAGGTTTATGCTGTATTTATGCTAGGAGCATTCTTTGAAAATTTTAGCCTCCCAGCTGTGTTAGTTCCCGACTTAGCTATTTCCCCGCAAAAAAATTTCACGGGACTGTACGTGAGAACTGCGCATGCCTGGGAGCTGAATTTGATAATTTTAAGTCGCAGATGGGCTGGGAACATTCCTTTAAAACC